TGGATTATCCGCAAGAGTAGGATTTTTCCAAAAAATTAGCGACTGGAGAGCAACCCACGTAATAAATTCCAGGTTTCTATTTTCTTCCACGTCCGATTCAATGTAGCAAAAATATCTTTAAAATTGGTTCCCCCTAAAGATGGCTCCCAGAAGCAGGCTTTCCCTTATGACTGCATACCAGCATGTACCTAATTGGTAAGGTTTCAGCCTTTATTCTCCATGATTCCCTGGAAAGAAATAATGCCTAGGGAAAAGTCCACCCCAAAAATGTGCCCCTGGGGACAAATCCTGAAAGTAACTTTTTCCCTCCTGAAACCAGCACCTGAATAGGTTCTGTTGCACGAAGTTTCGGTATCTATGTCTCTTCATTTCATTGGAGACAAATAAATTATGGAGACACGTCTCTCTTAAATAAAAGCACATGATTTTCGCATCATCAGAGTTATTCGTATACACCAAGTTCGAACTTTCAATCTCATGTAAAACATGGTTATAATTAAAGTCAGTCGCTGACACTCGATCACGATCATCCTATACTAGAAAATAGAGAAAAGATCCAACACTTGGGCAGCGGGTTATCATTCCTTCGAATCAATATAAAGCGTTTCAAGCTTGATTGAGATTTTGAAACGGGGGTGTCCGAACTAAGGTGAAAGTGTCCAAACTAATTAATTTTTTCTGCAACTAAGTTCGGATACCCTTATAATAGGCAATATCTGTAGTCATAAAGGTAGGAAGGACAACATCTTTATGGAACTCAGACCTCTCAGTGTCGTGCTCCAAGGAGCAAAAAATTAAGCTTCCAACTTGTACCGTTGAGATGGGACGAGCGAATGATGACGCTCGTCCAGCTTACCACGTAACTGTGGAAATATTGGTAGTTTTACCCTATGATATTTAAGAAAGCACAGTTCTTCCTGTAAATATACGGTCAAGTGCCGCAATCCAATCAGTCGCCGAGGGGCCTCCTTCCACCTTAATTTATTCCAAAGTAGTCTGGTACAATGCCATGAGTGCTATGAAGAGCGAGAGAATAATCTATCACAAGAGCTCGGAAAGAAAAGGGTAGCCCTGTACAATACGTCTGCTTCCGTAATCTGCAAAATCATTTGATTTCGCATTAGAATGGCAATGGGGTTGCTATGAGTTGCGCCAAGGATTCTAACTGCTTTATTCCCTGGTCTACACGAATGTGTTTACAATGTACCCTGGAAGAAGAGCAGACATACCCTGTACAGCTCGAGGAAATGGAGCACGTACCACGCGTCAATAGACGATCACTAGCAAAGGAGCCTCCCCCGAGTCTGGAATGAATTCACAGCGCTGACCCAGTATCACTGTGGCTGCGTTCATGGGACGGGTCTCGCGCCTCGCCCTTCAATGGCGGACTCTTGTCATCCACACATCCGTTCATGAAATCTGATGCAGCCCTGTGCAATGAGTAACAGTTGGGGAAACGGTGACGAAGTACCGATTCCATTGCTAATGAGTGGGAAAGGAATTCACGAGCCCTCTCCTTGACTCTGCATGACATATATAATGGTTCGTCAACACGACGGATAATGGAGCTCGAGCCTCTCATAACTCGTATATCTCTCTCTGAGTGGCCTTGACTGCTTCTCTGGAAGGCGTAGGGAAACGATTCGTTCAGTCTATCCCTGTCTGATAGAGTTCTGGATTTGTAAACACAAGGGTCGCAGAGTGAAGTCGAGTAAGAAGCGTGTTTCTAGAGCATCTACTGTAGAATGGAACAGGGATAAGCCAGAAGACTCCCCTGGGTTGCTGGTGCCCCCGAAGGGGCCATCAGTCACTCGTCGTCGTGCTTTTCAATATGGGTTCATAGCGTTCTAATGTGCTATGAAATTCTTTACTACCAAATCAAATCCAGCAGAATCTTCTTAGTCGGATAAAAGACATTGTGCATGCACTTCAGCTTTGCTTGGTCGCGAATGGCTTTTGTTGGACGAGGAGAATCTGGTGAACACCACTCAGTGGACTGCCGTTTTAGCTCAGCTTCGTAGCTACGAATCCACATTTCGTCACCATGAATTATACGATCCAAAAAAGCAGGGCCTTCTCGTTGTAGTCGTTGCAGTTGAGCTTGAGCGAATGTCATTCTTGAAACTTTTTCTTCATCATAGAGAATATGCGAAACCCATCGGGAAATTTTTTCACATCTCTTTCTTCTTTCTGCCCAAATTTACAAGGAGGATTGTGTGAGCGCTCTCATGTGATATCCCCGAGTCGAAAGGGACTTCATCTTCCGTTATTCGACGGTCATGCTCTAGGAGCTGTCTCACACGCACCACATTTTCATCGCAAATCGCAGACGGCGGTCGACCAGACCTTGGGACATCCTCAATGTCTTAATTTCCTTCGCGGAACGCACACCTCTGAACCGTTGAAAGACCTGAAGCATTTGGTCCCATCACTTGCATGAATTCACAGAAGATTTCATGCACATCCTTGGCCAGTAACACATTGAATCGGGTTATATGCCGTAATGCCTCGTTATCGAAAACTGTCTCCGTTTCTGAAGCGACAAACATATGCTTCAATTAAAGCGCGGCATATCTAAAATAGGTAATGTATACAATCTATACGCAACCAGTAAATACTTTGATGAGTGACTTATTACACACACACGCAACAACTTCCTATCTTAGCCCTGGTGGAAACTAAGGAGTGGGTCCCAGAACTTATTGACTGACCCTCGTAGAGAGGACGTCCTTGGCCAAACCTAATATTATATATGCAGGGATCGATCCCAAAAGTAATGACTCCAATTTTTTGTCTCCGTTATCTTTAATCCTTAGTCCATGAAACTTGTACTCTTGATCACTTGGAATGCTGGGATCAAAGTGGTTTTTTTTTTCCCCCGTATAATCACCATTTCTTTGGCAACATTTTTCAGCAGCGATATTCTAGGGCAAGTATGTCACTACGATAAAAGGCTTCCGGACCTACTTTCGCGCGACTTGTTCACTTGTTCCTCATCCTCCATTCAGTCCGGACTCGGCATCGTCAGACTACCGCCTCTTTTGGCCCTTCAAAGACGCTACTCGTGCACGTCACTTTCAGAATGACATTCAAGTTCAACAAACCTTCCAGAAGCGGGTCCGGAAACTTTTTTTTTTTACCGTAGTGGCATACAAGACCTGGAACATCGCTGGCGGAAATGTTGTCAAAGAAATGGCGATTACGTAAGAAAATAACACATTGTTCTCAACATTCCAAGTGATTATGTATAAAAGTTTCGTGTACTAAGGATCAAAGGTAACGAAGGAAAAAGAATTGGAGTTATTACTTTTGAGGCGACCCTCTTATATTTTTCCAAATCTGATCTATTTGAAAAGGTTAGGTTTGCCCATTTTTGCCCTTATCATGCTTAACAGGTAGTGACGAAGTTCTTGAGGGCTCCATACCTTCATATACACACAATCTCGTTGCCGTTTGCCCTCAACTCCTGACAGAGGACGACGCGTGACATCCCCATCCATTCCGAAAAGCAGTGAAGGTCAGGCATGCGAGCGGACTCGATTTCCTCCTTGACACGATGCGAAATAGAAAACTTAGCATCAGTCCAGGCGAAGGTCTTGCCCCCCTCCACTCGACTTCTTACTCATTGCACTCCGTTCAACACCCTCCCGTTATTAAGTTCATCCTCATGAAGCATCCGGAGGAAAGAAATCGCCCAGCCCCTTTTGAGTTACCACACCGTGGAGGCTTTTCGCAAGAAATAGCCAACGAAAATAAGGAAGATATAGTTGTACATCGTAAAAATGCCCTCCGTATGGTCGGCGCTGAACTATATCGCTATTAGAAACGATGTTAGATATGGGTATGGTGATAAAAAAGAAATGAGTCTTTGGTTGCAACTCAAACAAAGCTCGTCGAAATAGGTGATTACTCGGTAGACGTAAACAAAATTGATTTTTCCACTCACAGTAGGACATGTTAGTTGTCTATTTGCTCAAAAAACTGTTGGTGGTCCAAATAAATTGTGATGATAATTTTTGGCGGATTTTTACGAAATGCAGTAGGCAAACGTAAAGCTCCGAAAATCCTTCACTGAGACTCTCGAGCTTTTGCAACAAATGTATCCACGTACATCAGGTGCCTCCATCAGGTGCCTGTGCGTTCATCGGCTGCAAGGGCCCGAGAGCCACAAAGAACTGTTTTTGGAGCTTTATGGATTTTTAAAGCACTCTGCTACAGCGCTGGCATTCAAGTAATATCCGCCAAAAGTTTCCAACCATGGCAATTTCTTAAGGTCACCAACTAAAGTTCCTTAAATAAAGGACAGCTGGAAGAAAAGACAGATGAGTCGCAAAGTGATTATATGCGACGTCTACCGAGTGACCAACGATTTTGACGAGCATTGCAGGAGCAGCAACGAAAGTTCCATTCCTTTTTCATGAGCCTGAACAATTCATTCAAATCCAGCGTGCTTGCTTGAGCCCCTGTTTCCATTGATTGCCGGATATCCGGATATAGTGCCGGTATTAGGTTGGACTCGCGATAGTTTTTTGCTTTTGATGCATTGTACATCTTCGTGCTGTGTTCTTGGAATGAGGTTGATGGAAACAGTAGTAGTTGATGGGCAATCGATGTTGCAGGATCTAGTGACACTTGCATGGACATTCCTGCTGATGAAATGATGGAAATGGGGAATTCATGTCCTCCTCGGTCTACACCAAACATTAACTACTCCAAAGGAACCTCAAAAATGTTTAATTTTGTTATAAGCTTTCTCCTTGGACACTTGACAACCGCGAAGGGGTTACCGCAGGCACTGTTTGCCTGTCAACTACCGAAGGGTTCACTATATGATGAAAGTAACGAGAATGCTAATATTTTCTGTCAGAATGTCCATTATAATTCAATAATCATGGAATTGAATTTTGATATCCTTTAGCTTAAAAAGCAAATCTTCAAAGTAGTTTACTGTTAACATAAATAGCGTTCATTTCCATGGGACACGAAACAGAACATAAAGCCTCTTCCTCATCACCAGAAGAAAAACTACCTATTAAGCAATCAGAACGACATCAAGAAGAGTAAGACAAAAAGCTCGAAAATCTGCATCCTCTTGTTTGGAGTTCACCAGTGTCCTAAGTCCACTCCCTTAGTAAGGTAGGATAAGTTCCCAGAATTTGCTCTCGGCGAATTCATCAAATACCCTTTTAGCAAACCCTAGACAGTTCATATCTCGATCGTCAAACTTGTACCCTTTACGCACTTCCTTTTTCTCGTACAAGCTATGAAGCAGATCTTTCATCTTCATCTGCCCTTTGTCGCTTTGTTCCAGAGTAATTGGCTCCTCCCGCTTCTCCATTCGGAAATGCTCTTTCACGAACTCTTTACCTCTGCTGCGTTGGAGGAATATTCCTCCCGTGTTCTTCTCGATGGACCACCACCACTCATCGGTCTCAAGCACTACGAATGCATGATAGAGGAGACCTGCAGAAAATGCTCTTTCACGAACTCTTTACCTCTGCTGCGTTGGAGGAATATTCCTCCCGTGTTCTTCTCGATGGACCACCACCACTCATCGGTCTCAAGCACTACGAATGCATGATAGAGGAGACCTGCAGTCAACTGGGCTTCGTGAAGGGGGTGTGAGTATACCCAAATGTTCTCGATATCTTCGCTGCCATCGATGAAATCCAGAGCACATGATTCCAAACTTTCGTGGGCAATGGTGTAGGTGATATCACTGGTTTTGTCACTCTCCGGAATAAAGTAGAGCGCGTTCCCACATTTCACACCCTTGGAGCCTTTATTTCCCATTCTTGTATGATTGCAGATTCCACTGAAAGTGTTGCCCATCCTGCGACGTCCTGTTAGTACAAAGAAAATATCCCGGAATTCATTCATTACATTTCTATGCCTCCTACAAACTCATTTATTCGTTAAGCGTTTCAACTGAGAAATCATTCGACTGCACCTACTGGGCTTCTTGAAAATGGTCTCATTCCGGTTATAATAGCATTTTGCATTAGCGTAAAACCACCTAAGTCCAGACAGTACCTTAGTTCGGACACTACTGCAAACATTGTTACAAAACTAAGCATTCGCGGGGCCACCTTCTAAAACGGTTCTTCCTAACATGAGATGAACACGTCATTGAGCGAAGAAAAAGCGGTGGTTATCATGACTTTGCATGATTCCAAGATATTGGGTTTACGCAAATGCTGTACGTATATCGCGAACAGGAGAAATTCTTCAAGAAACCGTAAAGCGTAAACCTTACTTATGAAACGTTTCACACGTGACTTTTTTTGTTTTCTTTGTTCAATTTTTACTTATAGTTTCTTCGTTAGGACATGGAGTCCTGTTACGCAGAATGCTCGTGCATTTACCAGTTTATTGTCTTACTTTCGGTGTGTCCGAACTCTGGTCAAGAAATGTTTGAGAAACTTAAGTTCGGGCATACATTCATATGTGTTCTATCTGCGAAAACATGACGCCCTCTTGAGATAAAGAATATTTAGAGTAGACAAAAGCTTACTCGAGTCATGCTTTTCAGAGAACATGAGTTTTGGAGCTCTGTCCGAGCTTTCATAACGGGACATATAACTTCGGACACACTCGAGCAAGTATGAAAAAATACTGACTAATATATTTATTCACACACCCAAGAGTCCGCTGTGCCTTTGAAGAAGCATTAGGAGGTTGGAATGCAAGGGATTACTGATCCGAGTGTGCTGAAATGCCCCTGGGAACGAATCCTGAAAGTAGCTTTTACCCACTTGAAATTACACCTCAATAGATACCGATTAGGACTGTCGCGATAGAGAGATGCATCGATACCACCATCGATAGCTGGAGATATCGATTTTTTCAACCATTACGATGAATTGGTAAAGTGTTTTAAAGGAGAAACGTCCCATTGGATTGAGGCGAGTTCAATACAATACAGTTAGGGAAAGGAAGAAGCGGCGTGACCCACATGGGCTTGCGATTTCTTATCACAATGAAATTCCGGAAATGCTTGAACTGATTATAAGAAAGACGGGAAGGGAAAAGAAGTGAGATCGGAGACAGGAAATGGGAAGGGAGAGGGGAGAATACCGAAAATATTTTTTTCTCTTCTGTTTCTGTCTTCGGCTCTGTCTCATCAGGTGCATGCTGGAGAAATGGAATTTTCTTATATTCCCTTGATTTCGAAACCTACATTGATAAATACCCTCACTATATTCCTGTCTTTCACTTTAGTATGCAGGCTTACCTTTCTTAATTTTTTAAATAGCCCTCTGGCATTTATCTCTACTTAAGGTGAACTAAGTGCATTTTTTTACGTGGACGTTGCTTATTCTAGGGCTGTACCGATGTTTCGGCAACCGCAGGTATGGCACCATCAGCAGGTTTCCTATCTGGCGGTGCCGATGTCCAAAGACATTGTAGAATGAGAAAGAGAGAAAAAAATTTCAAATAAAAAAATTAAAACATGGTTAGAATTAAAGTCGGTCGCTGTCTCACTCAATCACGATCATCCTACATTAGAAAATAGTGGAAAGATACAACACATGAGGAGGGGGTTATCATTCCTTCACATCAAAATAAAGTGTTTCAACCCTGATTGAGACTCTGAAACAGGTTGTCGCAACTAAGGTGAAAGTGTCCAAAATATTAATAATTAATTTTTCTGCATCTAAGTTCGGATACCCACATTATGGGCAAAATCGGTAGTCATAAGGATAGGAAGGACAATATCTGTATGGCACTCAGACCTCTCAGTGTCGTGCTCCAAGGAGCAAAAAAAACTTCGGCTCGTACCGTTGAGATGGGACGAGCGAATGATGAGGCTTGGCTAGCTTAACTATCCGAACATTGTTGGTTTTACTCTATGACAGAGAAGAAAGCACAGATCATCCTGGAACTATACGGTCCAATGCCGCAATGTAAGCAGTCGCCGAGGGGCCTCATTCCACCTTAATTTATTACAAAGTAGTCTGGTACAATGCAATGAATGCTACGAAGAGCGAGAGAATAATCTATCGTAAGAGCTCGGAAAGAAAAATGGGTAGCCCTGTACAAGACTTCTGCTTTCGTAATCTGCAAAATCTTTTGATTTCGCATGAGAATGGCAATAGAATTGCTATCAGTTGCGCTTAAGATTCTAATGTCTAAAATTTTCCCTGGAAGAAAAGCAGATATACTCTGTACAACTCGAGGGAATGGAGCACATACCATGCGTTAATAGACGATCACTAGTAAAGGAGCCTCCCTCGAGTCTGGAATGAATTCACAGCGCTGACCCATTATCACTGTGGCTGCGTTCATGGGACGGGTCTCGCGCCTCGCCCTTCAATGGCGGACTCTTGTCATGCAAACATCCGTTCATGAAATCTGATGCAGCCCTGTGCAATGAGTAACAGGTGGGGAAACGGTGACGAAGTACCGCTTCCATTGCTAATGAGTGGGAAAGGACTTCACGAGCCCTCGAGCCTTGACTCTGCATGACATGGTTCGTCAACACGACGGATAATGGTGCTCGAGCCTTTCGTAATTCGTATATCTGTCTGACTGACCCTGACGGCTTATCTGAAAGGGGTAAGGAAATGAGACGTTCTTTTTATTCCTGTCTGAAAGCGTTCCGGATATGTAAACACCAGGGACGCAGAGTTTCAGAACCGTGTTTCTAGAGCAACTAGTATGGGACAGGGTTAAGCCTGAAGACTCCTTGTGTGGCTGGTGCAACGAAAGGGTCATCAGTCACTTGTTGTGCTTTTCAATAGGGGTTCATAGTGTTCTTGTGTACTATGAAGTGTTGAATACATTACTACCAAATCTACAGGTTTAGGGAAAAAAGTAAAAATAACCAAAGGAGTTTTCCTAGTTTCGTCCCTCAAACGGATTTCAAAGATGTGTATTTTTCAAGATGGCGTTTTTAGGTCAACGCTAAATTTATATACGAGGGTCGCCCCAAAAATAATGACTCCAATATTTTTTATCCGTTACCTTTAATCCTCAGTCCATGAAACTTGTACACATGATCACTTGTAATGCTTGTTTCAAAGTGTTTTTTTTCCCACTTAATCACCATTTCTTTATTAACATTTTCAGCAGCGATGTTCCCGGGTTTTCATGCCACAACGGTAAATAGATTCTGGACCTACTTCTGCACGACTTGTTGACATGTTCCTCATCCTCCTTTCAGTCCGGACTCTGACTCGTCAGACTACTTCCTCTTCTGTCTCTTCAAAGACACTACTCGTTCACAACATTTTTAGAATGACATTCGAGTTCAAGAAACTCTGGAAACTTTTTACCGTAGTGGCATGCAAGTCCTGGAACATCGCTGACGGAAATGTCAAAGAAATGGTGATTACGTGAGAAAATAACACGTTTTTCCAAACATTCCAAGTGATTATGTGTAATTATATGTACAAGTTTCGTGTACTAAGGATGAAAGGTAACGAAGGAAAAAAATTGGAGTCATTCCTTTTTGGGCGACCCTCGTATATTTGTTCAAATCTGAACAATTTGAAAAGGTTAGGTTAGGTTTGCCCATTTTTTGTCTTAAACCGATTTTCACTAAGTTAATATCTGTGTAATCGGTTTCACTTGTGAACATGACATGTATACTTTTCATCCGAATGTGAAGAGTTTAAAAAGTAGGTTTGGTTAGGTTAAGTTAAATTATTTGACCGTTTCTTAATGCATCCCCAATAAATGCATTCCGCATCGCCAAAGGTTAAGAAAGAACATCATTTTGAAGTAATCGGTGAACTTTAGTTGGGAATTGAATTGAAAGTCTTGTAAAATACTTTGAATTTATTATTTATTATATAAAAGTTAATGGTGCGAGATTGAAAGATGTAAAAAATGCTATTTCATTTTTTAATTTTTGCTTCATTTTTCCTTGGTGTTTTGCTTTTTTTTCTTCAAAGCTGTTGGAAGTGTGTTTTGATAAAAAATTCAATGAAAATAACATCAACGCAGCCTAATCTAATCTAACCTAACCTACCTTTTTGAAAGTGAAAGTGATATTTTATTACTCTGTAAAGGACACCCTTTCAAATTATGCATGAATCATGAAATTCGGTTTAAGACCCAAATTCACTTCATATTGGCCATCCTCATTCGTTAGGTAAGAAAAGTGAGGCTGAATAAAAACTTGTCCCTCCGAAAGTATCACTTTGCAAGCCTTAGAAAGGAAAATGTTTGGTTTTTGGAAGATAGGTAGAGGAAGAAAGAGAGTGAAAAGAGAAGAACGTATGGATGAAATGATAAGTAGATGAGTAAATGATAATTGAAATGATAAGTTCAATTTGGAACGACTAAAAATCGAGACATTCGGAGTTAGACGAAAGGCTAAAAAAAACTGGCGTCTGGGGTGCCCGGGCTGATACTAATATATACATGTCGTGGTTTCTATCTCCCTCTCTCTCCCCCTCGTACTCTTTTGCAGGATATTTCTTCCTAGGTGGGCAATATCCATTCCGTAACAGTTGGAACTCTACAGCAGTTTTTTTTAGATGGAGGGAGATGCTACGATAGATTGCTACATTACATGTAACCATGTTCTATTTCCATCAGATATAGCATACCATAGTGAGAAAGTGCGTGTTGCCAGTTCATTTGAAAGGTCTGTTTTTACCAAGTATGGTAATGGCCATCATCTCCATAAAAAGCTCTTTATTTGGCACAAACAAATTTCCTCATATCCCATCGGTCAGGATGTACCTAAGGTGAGAAAAAATACTTCCTTCTCCAGGATCATATTTTATATCGTGGCGGCTGGCGTTTTGAAAAGGAGATCACTTTCTGAACTGTGTGGCAGTGGAATTTTAATTGGGTTCAGTTATGAATGCCTGGCTCAATTATATATATCATCTTCTTCCGCAAGCTTGGAGGCAGAGCAATACATTTTGCGTTGCGTGCATAGTGTAAGTCCAA